TATAACATATTATTTTAAATAAAATAATAGTTTATACTCGATTTTCATTTTTGGTGTTTGAACCAAATCATATCGATACAAGTCTGGAAAAAACGTTTTGCAAACTCGCTTATAAGCGTTCGCAGAATCCGTTTAGTGTAGACTTAGAATGTTCCACAAATTCACTTAAGAAAGCATCTGTGAAAACGAGTCATATATAAACGTTTTGAAAGAAACAAGTATCTAAAACGTTTCGCGGATGATGCTATAAGCAAACCGCAAATTGTTTTGAGATAAGTAAGAAACGTTTCGCAGAAATGATAAAAACCAAATCGCAAACAGCGTTTGAAAGACCGTTTCGCGGAAGTGCTATAGAGCAAATCGCAAACACGTATAGTAGACAGATAATAAACGTAAAACGTTTCGCAGAAGTGCTATAGAGCAAATCGCAAACACGTTTCCAGAACCCGTTTCTATAGATCGTTTTTTTCAACCCGATTAAAGCTTTAGACAGAAAGCGATTAAGAGTTAAGATTGTAGAAGCCGGAAAACCGGATCGACATAGACGATATAAGAAAGACGGAGTTAAGGAAATTGACGATTATATAAGACATGGAGGCGAGATAAATCTCTTTCCTTAACTCTTAATATTCGCTCCGTAGTGAGACGAAACTATACGAATATCGAGTCCCAGGATACAACCATGACAGACGAATCACGCTTCACTCGTAAAACAACCTAACGAACTTAAATTGTACGAACACTCTCTAAACTTACTTTGGGAGATTTGCTGGTTTTTTTCTTGCGTGAAAAAGTCAAGAATGAAGGAGGAGAGGCAATATTTAAAGAGACGGAGAAAACCCACTTCCCGCAACAACTGCTGCACGTGGGCGAAAATCTCGCTGAGATCTCGGGAGTGGAAGCTCAGAAACTTTCTCCGCAAGATCTTTATTTGACTCGTTCAAATTGTTTGGCAAACAGATAGACTTCGTGTTGTTTTACACAAAGTACGTGTTGTTTATTCACAAACGTCATGCTGTGTTTAAATTTAAAAATGGCAAAGCGTTGAGCTTAATTTGGTCCAAAAAGGTAACTTCTTATCGGGCCAAAGGCCCTCCAATAAAGCCCAAACCCAAGTCCAAGCCCAAGCCGAGCCGGACGGCGGCAACGGCGCACGCGTGGGGATTCCTCTCTTCCTCTGAGTTGTATAACCCATGGTGTAATGGGAACATATATATAATGCTCACCTCTTCACAAGTTGCCCGATGTGGGACTTACCCCCTTCATTTACACAGAAGGTAGGCTTTTTATTGGCCCAATTCTATTCACATACTTTCCCAATAATTTTTAAAGCAATGGGCTTTAAGTTATTGATCCAACAATGTGTTGGTGTCAGATCGTATGGTGTCAAGAACAGTCTTACATGTATCGATTCGCCTGCACAATGACTCAACACTTAAGAAACTGGCAAATGTTCTGAGAGTAAGTTTGAGAACATGTGATGAAACTATTAGGCAGATACCTCTAACGGGAGCACCATCCATTAACTCAAATTTGGCTAATGTTTCTGTCTCGACGTGAGTATTAGCTCCTGCTCTTGTAGATTCTCGCCGTCTGATCTCAAGATCCATATTCTTTATCTTGATTCTCACCAGAAGAAAGTATACTTTCCCGATCTCAAGATCCATTGGTTCCTCTGTACTGAAATAGCCACATTTGTTGGCTTTTTATGATCTGAGCGATAGAAATTTGTTTCCTAAGTGACATACATCATTTGTACACATGGTGTAAATGATGGAGTAAATGATGAGGGATAGAAATTTCTTTCCTCTAAGTAACATACATCATTTCTATAGGGGATTCATGGTTTTTGTCAGGAAGGAAATGACCGTTCCAACACATTTCGCTCCTATTTTTCTCTTCCTCATATTTTAGATACAGTTGTTTGTTTATACAACCAAACAATGCACCGATTATTGGTTTCCTTCTATGCAGCATATCATACTTTACGTTACACATTATCAGTTTATCACAATCATCCCTCACGATTATAACATGATTTTTCCCAGGTTCTGACATATTGACAATAAGGGTTGTTATCAACCACAATAACACTGTCAGATGGTCCAAAATTTAAGGTTTATGAAAATTTGAGTAGAAAATTATTAAAAATCTTTGGAATTGAAGGTTTCTGAAACTTTAAGATTCTTAGGAAGAAATAACGACGATGATGATGTAACAGAAGTTAATAGTAACATTTTCTTTTGGTTCAGCAGTAACAGTTATGTCATAAGGTGTGTATGTTAACGAGTGTTAGTTAAGGGTTCCGATTTTTAAAGAAGCGGTTACGAAATATATATATTTTGGCAAGGCAATAAATAATAAACTAGTATCTCTTTTGAAATTTATGACTTTGTACTAATATATTTTTCTTTTTGAATTTCTTCAATCTAGGGATGAACATGTTAAATGTTTAGATTTACTAAATTGTGACAGCAGGAGGAATAGATATCAACCCCAACATTACATTTTACAAATTGTGAATGCCAAAAAAAAAGTTGGCTCAATATATATTAATATATACGTATTTAAATGAGCAAGTGGTCTAGTGGTAGGATTACAGAACACCTAAACCTTAGATGAGATTGAAAGCAGTAGTAAAAAAAAAAATTTGGAAAATTTAGAGACACCTAAACATGTGTCTGTTTGATTTGGAACAAAACAGAAACATAAACTTCCACATATACAAAAAAGGTCAAAGAAAGAAAATACATAACATATATAATTTTATTAACAGTTCATATTTTTAAAAGGTTTGATGATAATTTCTGAGAAAATATAACTTTTATGCTGTGAAAAAGTACAATGGATAAGATTATGGAAAAACACAAGAGTCAATTAGGTGAATATACATAAATTGAATCAAAATTAGGTAACTACCTAAAAGGAAAAAAAAAAGTAGTTTATTGTAGATTTTAAGTCTTGAACTTCCGATTATATCCCTAGACTCATCTCTATCACAATTCTCTTTCTTCTATTTGTCGAGTCTCTTTCTTCATCTTCATTTCTTTTTATTCAACTTTTTTTTATCAAATCTTCAGTCCCCAAATCCACACAATTCTATATTTTCATTCACAAGAATCGACAGTTTTATATTTTAGTTTAAAAGTTATTTAATATATGTTAATATTACAAAATCCTTACAATTAAATAATTAGGAAAAAGGGGAGCGTTGATCCAAAAAAAAGGAAAAAGGGGAGCTTTTGTTTGTCGAGTCTTTTCTCTTCAAACAACGACAAGAGGGGGGGAGGGGGAGGGGGAGGG